AATAGAATAGAATAGAATAGAATAGAATAGAATAGAATAGAATAGAAAGAAACCCTTTCTTGATTTTTTTTTCTAGCCTTTTATCTGACGAAATCTGTGATTTGAAGCACAGTCTTCCAGGGAGCTAAGCCACAACATGCATTTACTCTCTGTTTCTCATTTTCTAGCAAAAAACCAGAGTAATTGTACTTAAAATCAAGCCAGCCTGCACAGCCACTTCCATAGGTACCTGTTAGGATCAGTGCTTACCATGTGCTTGTCTATACTCTCCAAAGTATGTAACACATTTAAATTGAAAGTTAAGCCTCCAGAAGTGCTCTCCACTGGCCCAGATTTATGCATCAAAATCAGTGATACAGCTCTGACTGATTTTAGTGGCAGCCAAATGAAGCTTCTCCCATTGCTGTGCTGGTAGAGAGGCTCTGTTAAACACAAGAGGGAAAAGGGGAGTTCCTGCTCTGCAGTCTGATTGTCAGAGTTCCCAGGGTTCAGATTTGGCAGAAGAGGCTGTGGTTTGTCAGCTGGAATTGGTGTGTTCTGATAACCCTGAGGAAGGAGCTCATCTGCCCTCAGATCTTTGCTGTTTCAACCGGTCACGGTGCATTTAAGTTACTACAGTTATTTAAGTCTCTCAAAGAAAACACCTTTGTGATGGGCTGCTCTGCACTTATTACAGCCAAGATTTTGAATGCAGTGATGGTTTTGACTCCAGCTGTTTCCATTTGCAGGGCCGGAGGTATTATGTCCACGTTTCAGCCTACAACATGAGAGGATGGGGACCTCCAAGGAAATCTACTCCTGAATATGCTTCTCCTTCAAGTAGGTTGAGTTTGTCTGCCCTTCTAGTTTGATTGGTGATGTTGCTTTGTAAGAACTCCTTCCTCTTCAAAGAACAGCAAAAGAAAAATATCCTGGAGTTCATGATGTAATTGTCATGTCCTCTAGGAATGAAATAAAGAAATAAAAACTCCCCCAAAAATGAGCAAAATAATAATATATTTATGTGATATGTATATTTATGTCTTAGCTTGTATTCTTCTCCAGTCCTTTGATAGAACATTGTTGTCTAGTCATTAACACTTTAAAAAAATGAGAAATATTTTGATCTTTACTTTTCTTAACAGAGTTCTGATATATAGAACTTCATTTTTCAGTACAGGAATGGATCAAAAATTGAATCTGAGCTGCTGAAAGCAAAACACTTACATGTATCTCATGTAATTTTGTGTTCTGCCTTGTAGCATTACAGATCCCATTCACTGGACCATTCTTACAGCATCCTGTATGTCAAATACTCTAGGGTGGACACACACGTTGACAGGATCAAGCCTGTAAGCACTGAAATGTTCCAGAAATGTCCAACAGCCTTTTTTCCCCTTCCAACCTCTGACAGGTTTTCTCAGACTCCATTAGGACTGTGATTTGTCATTTGTAAATTTTTAATCTATTATAATCACATTGTATTGTTAGTTACTTTTGCAGACTTAGTGTTCCCTGCCAAACTGGCTCAGTGGATTACAGCTCCCCTTGTATTGATTAATGCAGTAAAGTGAGACTTTTCCTTTTATTGCATTAACACTAGTGTTTATTAGGCTAATGTAGCAATTTAATAACCTTGCATGCTAATGTGAGAAAATACAGCAAGCTGTACCTACTCTCAGTATTCATAATGGAGAGGGTTGGATAAACAAGGCTCTTGCAGTACCATTGGCCCATTTTGCTTCAATTTTGCTCTTGTTTGCCACAGAATAATACCAGAATCAGGCTAAAGAAATACTCTGTTTGAGAACAAAAATGTGCTACAATCATGGGACAAGTCTCTATGTGGACAACTGAACAACTTAGTGATGTGCAATTATCTTGACTACAGCCAGGTATAACCACACAGGACTGGCCCCAAAACCCACAGATTTACATCAGCTACTCTTTTACAGTAGCTGCAAGTTATCCAGCTAAATATCCCCAAAGAAGGGACACTCCTGGCAAAACATTTAGGACTGCAGCTTCATTTGATGTGAATTTTGCATCAGAGAGACAAGATGTTATTTACCACTGCAGTTACTGGAGTAACTTCAGACCTTCTTTACCCATGTGACTGCCTCCACCAGTGGTTTTGAAAACCAGCAAATTTGTGCTTGGCAAGAAGGCAGCAATCTGACATTATGCCACTGTTGCATAACAAAATATGGCCCTAAGCTAAAATTGAAATGTGAATACATTAATACTCTGCAGAGTTGTCTGTAACAGCAACCAGAAGTGTGTGCAAGGGAAATGAAAGCTTCAGGGCCTAAAGCTGATCCATCCCAGAGCATCAAAGGTTTGTGACATCCTTGGAGATGTGTCTGTGTCTCAGTGAACACTTGCCACTGTCCTCCTGTTTCCCCCACACACACAGAAGCAGCCTGGAAGGTGGTGGCCAACGTTGTGCAGCTGCTCCATGAAATGATAGCAGATTTCTAGGCTTATTCATTAGCAGGTGAGAGATGGACAATGAGGGAAACTGGTTTCCATGTCATTTTTAAGGTAGTCAGCAATCTGGAGGTTCAAAAAGCACTGGGATAGAGAAATCATAAGAAATCCCAGTTTGGTGACACCAAAGCACTTTGAGATTGGTGAGTTCCAGTTGGTCCCTCTTGGCTGCTCACAGGAGATCCAAGGACATTATCCCCACACAGAGCAATAAGTGCAGCTGGCCCTGGATCTCTGCAATAGCCCACAACACAGGGGACAGCCCCTCTGCAGCTGTCACACTGCCCACAGGCTATCGGGATACCAAATGTCTTCTCTTTCCAGCCTTTCAGGGGCTTACTCTAGCTGCTACTAAATGTAAATAAATAGGTATTTATATCCCTGGCATAGTGAGCCCATTGGAAGGAATGTTTGACTCCAAACTTGCACTAGAAACTAGATCTGTATATTTAGTGAGTGAGCAAACTGTTGGTGGCTGCGAGTACGTACGTGGCCTCTGTGCCAGCAAGATGGAAGCGTGTCTCCTGTGCAGACAGATCTCTTAATACCTTGATTCACCATTACTTTGGGTCAGGAAATGAGTGCAATACTCTTATCTCTTTACAATCAAAGTAGGAAAACAGCCAAATCTGGAATTAAAAAGCTCCTCTCTGACACACACGGGTTTTTCTTCCTATTTGTGATAAGTTCGGTTTTTAAAATCAAGATTGAGACTGTCACTAGCAGCAAAGGAGTGAAAACAGTCTGTTGGAGGTGGAGGTTTGTGGGACAGAAACCGCAGCTTTTTGCCTCAGGAGTGCAGTGCTGAGCAGCCCGAGGGCTCCAGGGCAGGAATTGCCAGCGTTCCCTCAGGCCGCTGCCGGGAGCAGATCTCCTGGAGAGATTTTACATGGAACACGTGTCTCTGGCTACAGAGCGAGCTCTGGGTGTGGGAAGATGTTCATTCCCTGCTTTGCAGTTTCCTATAAACTGGAGTCGAGTGTCTGAAGCCTCCCAGTGTCTGAAAAAGAGGCAGAAGGAGCAGAAGTGTGACCTGAGTGAGGGGCTGAGTGTCGGGACAGGCTGGGAGCAGCTCTGGCTGCAGCAACAGAGCCCATTCATGTACTGAAGAGAAATAGTCGTTGTCTAGTCAGGCACTACAGGAGCTTCTCAGAGCTGGTTGGGAGCTCTTTGTTAATAATCATTATGATTAATTACCCAGCTGGCACAAGGCAAAGAAAACTCGGTGTACGAGTAACAGCAGCAGAGTTGAAAACAACTCCTCCTGCCTGCCGAGATGTAAAACTCCTCTGAAGCCAAGGAGGACCAGAGGCAAGAAAATATTTTTAGACCTTCTCCTGCACCTTTGTGTTTCATTTCTGTTTATTTCCTTTGTTCAATAGACTGGAAAGACTGCAGTGGAAGAGAACCTCGGCACAGGGGACACACTGAGGCCCTGGAACGCCTCCTTCAGCAGGTTCGAGCAGCTCATCAGCACTATAATTGCCGAGGTAAGGATAAATATCTCTGTGGTAGGGCACCAGCTGAAGCCTCTGTGGCGCCTGTAATTTTAGCAGTTTTCTAACTAGGTCATACCTTCTCATTCATCAGGAAAAGAAAGATATTAATATTGGCCCATCTGGAATCACTTTAGCACACTATCTTGCTCTTAACCCTTGAAATTAGTTGGATGAAAACATCTGAAAGCTCGAATGCACACACACAGGCACACCCTTTCCCCCTCTGTACCCTACACACCTATTGATTTGTTTTTCCCTACAAATTAGTTTCGCACAGGATTCCATTAAAATGTTTCAAGGATGTCTCTTTTAATTTTTTTTCTATAAGGAAATACTTTAGAAAGTTAACAACTGGTTTGGATCAAAAGAGGGGAATTGGCTGCCTCCAAATGGAAGACACTAAGTACTCCAGTGGATGCCATTGCCAATCCATAATGAAAAATACTTGCACAATGCAGTGGGAAGATAAGATTGCTACATTTCAAAATAGAATGGATCAAAACTAGGGGAGAGTTCGAATCTCAGCCAAACTTCATTCATGAGAAACAGACTGTGCCTTTAATAGCTCAAGAGCCAAGGCAACAGCTTGGCATTCTTTTTAAAGCATATATAAAAACTCCTGTTCTATACGGGTTGTTGAAAAGTACTATTTATTTTCTTAAAATAAACTTCTAACTGGAATAATGCTTCATTGCAAAGGGAACTTATTTCAAACTGAAAAGTTAAACTACCATGAAGTTTTCATTTTTCTTCACCTAGTATGACTGCTGTGTCAAGCTGCATCAATTGATTTAAAATCACAGAAATACTTAGGGCTAAAATCATCTGGCTGAAATGAAAAGATGCAGCCTTTGTTCTTTACGTGCAAATATGTCACCATCACGATGATCCACAGTCTGCCACAACCCATTGTAACCATAGCAACTTAACCTATTCATCTATGGTGCTTGGAAAGGGAAAGAAGATATTGCAAGAAAATGTTGTTTCCCTAATTAAAATTCATGCAAGCATTATCACTTGCAGGTGGTCTTGGTACTGAAAATACAGATGATGTATTCTATCTCTCACATAGCTTTTTCAGGCTATTAAAGAATATAATGTATGTACCATTTTTCCACAGTACACTTTATCCTTTCTGGAGTAAGTGCCTACCTCAGGTCTTTCCTGCCACCTTCCTAGTGAAGAGGGAGTAAGTGATGGACCATCTGAAACTTTTCTCAGTATAAATTGTTTTACTGACATACCAGCCTGGAACAGGAGCAGGTATAAACAACATGCAGAAAATCCCTCCTTTTGAGAATCTGACACCAGGGCCTGGTTCTTATAAAATTCCACCACTCCAGAAATTAACCCCAGCCTCGAAGCAGAGCACAGACAACTCTGTTGTTGATTTCCTAACTCCTTTTCCTTAAATAATAAATAGCAACAATACAAAAAATCCGTTTAGCTCCAAACAGTTTCTTTTGTGCCCGAAAGGCTGGGGAGCTCTCATGGGGCAGTACCACGTGTGGAGTCAGCTTGAGCAACACCCATGCCTACAACCAAACAAAAATCTCATAATTGCTTCTAATGCTAGCATTACACAGTAGTGTATTTTGGATAAATCAGGATGGCAACATCATAGGAGAACCTTTGGAACTTGCTTTAAATATATGACTGATGTCAATCCCTTGTATTTCACTGATTTGGTAAGGCATCAAGGCAAAGTTTGCAGGAAAAGTAAGAATTATGCCATCACTTTGACTCTGAAATTTGATTCTGGTGTTTATCAGCCTCAGTGGAATCTGAGGAGTTTGGTCAAGGATCTGAGATAAGCTGCTGTGTAAGACTGAAAAGCCCAACTAAAGGCTTTCACTTCATATAATACAGAGGCCTGATCTAGATTCTTAATTAATGTAAATCTGCATGGTTCAACTGACAGGGATAGAAGTCAGCATGGCCATGCTGTTATACACAGGCTGAGGACCTGCCCAGGCATTTATCCTTTATCTTTACCCTGCTTCCCTCTACTAACTCCTTCCTCTAACTCTGGTTGGATGTCCATACTGTGATCTCTGTTTGCCCCATTTGGTTTAGAGCTGTCAGTGAACAGCTGGACATTGTTTGAGGAGTATCCCTGGATCTGCCAACAACCACTGATTGGTCTGTGGTTTATTAATGAGAGCAGAATCAAACTCTGTGTGAATTAAAGCTCCGTGAGGACAGATGGAACTCAAACCTGGTGTCCAGCCACCTTGGCTGTTCCCGGGGTGATTCCTGTTGGGATATCCCTTTCATGCTGCTTGGGCTGGCTGAAGGAGAGTGGAGGATGAGTGCAAGGGAGGTGGAAAAACTGAAGGTAATCAATCTAGAAGGTCTGAGATTACTTGGATAGCACAGGCAAAAGCCTCAGAAGACAGAGGAGCTGGAAGGGCAAGGCTGTGTGCTGGTGCTCCGGTGGGATCTGGGAGGGGACATTGCCCGGATTCCAGGCAGATCCTTTGCCCAGGTCTGTTCATTCAGGCTCTGCCTTTTGCCCTGTGCTTTGCATTGCAGGGGCTGGAGAAAACAAGCTTACAAAAATACCAGGAAGAATACATTGGAATGTACAGTGAGTTTAAGAGCTTTTGGAATTAGATCAGCTGTTGCTTTTGAACCTGCTCTGTGATATGATGAAATCTCCTAGGGAATTACTTAGGAAGCTTTGCTTTCATATGTTTAATCTTCTGGAAAACCCTGATGATTACAAACAACAGTCATCCATTTGTCTTCATAATACCATGCTACAGACTATCATAACTGAGTTACTACAATTGTATGTCCTGGCAACACTTCAAATATATTTTTAAGTATTTTTTTTTCTTGTAGCTCATTTTTTCTAAACAATTCTGAGTGGATTAAGCAATTGTGTGATGCTTCATTAAGAAAGGAACCCAACTCTTCAGTAAAATTCTTACCAGATATTTTCTTTCTGAAGTTTAATTGAAATGTATTTTACCGGACAAGTGAAATAAATATGTTCTAATTGTAACTTGATTCACAAGCAGAGCACAGAGTTTTAATTGCCTTTAACAAAGAGAAGGATCTCTGATTCCCCAGGACATTTAAAATGTTTAGATTATAATTGTTTGTGAGAATATACACAAGCAGACTTGAGAACCAAGCCATAAACTGAGTTTAGGTAGGGAATTTAAGAAGTTACAATTTTAGCTTTTGAGCCTGACTTTGTCATCCAAAACATACCACACAGTGGTAGAAGACTGTCAGGCTTCTTCATGAGATACAGAATTTTCTTTTGAAAGACATCCCACCTTGAGGTGAGGTAATACAGGATCTGCCATGGTCTCAAGCTATTGAGGTGTCTGGCCACTTTAATTTTTGTGTGGAATGATGTCTCCATGCACATTATCCCAGTGTCAGCTGTCTGCATTGCTAAAAATGTGCAGCTTTAAATTGAGTTTTAATTCATCTGGAAGCTTCCAGCCATTCAATGTATTTTCATAAGGTTATACAGTAAGTGAAAACTCTAAACCCCATTTTATGCCCTCCACTAGGATTTCAGTGGGATCTAACTCATCTTGTGCTACTTTGCTTCCCTATCCAGGGTCACTCCCAAAGATATTTAGCTGTTCCACAGAGTGCCTGGCTGGTGGGGCTAAGATCTCAGATAATTTTGTGCTGAGGTAATTCCATTTACTTCACATCTGCCCCACTTGAGAAGAGGCACCCACTTGTCTAGTGAAAGGACAAAGAATTCCAGATGATCTTCCTCCTCAGGGACATGGCACAGCATAACACACATTCCTTGGAGACCCCAGATACACACAAGCATGAGTGGGCATTGTTCCTGTTCTTCCATGAGGTTGCTCTTAAGTATTAGCTGCATTTACATAAAAAACTGCACAGAAACATTTGCACACCCTACCTTTGAAGAGAAAGGCTGCCAATGTCATAAATACATCTTTTTATTTAATTGTCCATTTCAATCCAGGTTTGAATGCTTCTCATCTAAATCTAATCACTGGGAATTCTCTCATCTCATCTATGTGTTCATTGCTAGGCTTCTATTAAAAGAGCTCACAGCTCTATTGCTGTATCATTTATTGATATAAACTTACTGTGTTGCTACTGGTGTTTTTCTATGAAGTTACTCTATGTTATTTATTAGTTAATTAAGTAATGGCCAAGGTTCCATTTCCTGCAGATCCAAATTATCCTCTAATCTCAGCTCCATGTTTTCTGGCTCCTACACACATGTTACTGTAAAACAAAAGCAAACAGCAACATAGGAGAGTTTACAGTCTCCATCTAGTTTTACATTATTTCTTTTGCTGTTGGCTTCTGCAAAGCTGTGGACTAAACCCAAACCACTGAATAGCCCAATAACATATATTTCACTTGTAATGTGCCCTCTTATTTTAATGCTGCAGTCTCTGGGAGTTTTATACAGAATTATGTTGCTTTGCCTTCAGCAATTTCCTCCTCCACTCCCTCCGTATAGATGGAGGGAATATAGAAGAAAATAATTAAAATGAAATTTATATTCCTAAATTGGTCTTAACCTTGGAAGAAGGAAACAGGAAGACAGGAGTTTTCATGTAGCATTTGGTTTACATTACTGCAATACACTGCAAATGTTCACAGTAAAATAACAGTTATCTGAGGAGCTATGGGCAGAAATGCAAATTAGTATTTTTAAAAGGAAAAGAAAACAAAGGTCAGTTGCTTCAAAGGAGCAGTCATGGATTTGGATGAGTCTGTTAAAACCAAGCTGAACAGTGCACTGGAGAATATGCCATGGAGAACAAGTTTGCACTGGAAAGACAAGGGATTTGATGATCTAATAAGTCTCATACATCTGAATTACATGATTTCACCCCCAACAGAACCTTGCTCTCTTTGTACTCGCTGTTCCACAGAGCAGTAATTATTGCTAACAGTGTGTCTGCTTTCTGGGGTTTTCAACGTGCGAATTATGGTGCAAATTTATTCAGCATTTAAAAATACGCTGAGCGCCTCCACAGATGGGGTTGTGACAGCAGCAAATTTAGATGTTCTTTAAATGTTCAAACTTAGAACTCAGCAGGGAGACACAGACAGACACCTCCCATTCTGGAGGTAAGCGGCAGATAAGTTCCTCTGAGAACACCTAAGCAGATGATCAGCAGCTCTCAGCAAATGCTTCTTCATGAGTCATGTTTTTTTCCCACTGGAGAAGGGTGTCCCTCAAATTGTTTCACGCTTCCATCTGGATGGGGATCCATGATTCATCCAAATAAACAAGTCAGATCCTGGAAAACTGAGATGCACTTCCACAGCTGCGTTTTTCTTTTTGCCTTTCTTTTCCTGTCGCAGTAAATAGCTGAAAAATGAACTCTTTTTTTTATTATTATTAAGTATTCCTGCTGTTTCTCTTACAACAGCATTAAACAGAAAATGCATTGCAATAGACAATGCAAAAAAAAAAATCAAACAGTGTTAAGTGCCTTTAAAATGCCATGTGTGGACAACTGACTGTGCATTATACAATCCTGCATGTCCCTGACTGCCATCTATTGGCATCCCCTCCAACCCTGCTCACAGGTACACAGGTGTTCTCAGCTTGTGAGGCTCCACTCCCATGGGAATGTATTTCTTTGGCTTACAAGGCCATGCATGAGAGAAGGAAAGACATCAGGTCAAATTCACCAAAGTGAAAAAGAACACAGCATTATAAAAATTTAACAACATTTTTTTTAGAACACTGGGACAATATATGAATTTATAAAATCCTTCTAATTAAGAAAGGTAGTCCAGGGGTCCTGGCAGGCACACAGCAGGTCTCAGCTTCCTTGGATTCCAGATTAGTAGGGAGCAAAGGTAACTGTGAAAGCTCTGAGGCAATACAGGTGAGTGGAAGTTGTGACAGGGGAAAAAAAAAACCAAGCAAAAGCAGATGCATTTAATGTGATACAGGGAAAGATGAAGGTCGACCTCATTGTCTCCTTAAAGCTGTTCCTGAGGTTAGACTGGTGATGCTGTGATGTCAGTGACTGCCAGGTCAGTTCTTAGAAGCTTAAGCTGTAAGTGGAGAGAAACTGAAGAATTACAACACCTAAAATGTTGGCTGATGGTTCAAATCTCTTCTTGGGTTTTTGAGCTCCCTTGCAAAATTCACACCATTAAGAGTAGTACACAGTGCTGGCTTGAGCTATGCTTTGCCTAGGAGCAAAACATTTTTATCTAGTCTGAGTTTGCTGCAAGTAAGGAAATCGTTTGCTGGTATCACTAAGTTAATGAAAACACAGTCAAAGGGTTGCATTTGAGCAATTTCTAAATGTTGCTTTTTGAAAGGAATAAAGAGGACACTGACTGAAATTTAGTATTGTGGTTCAAGAAACAAAGGTTCTTTATGAGGCACTAACCGAAATTTAAGAGCTGGGCTTGGTTTACTTCTTTTTTCCATTTCAGAAAGTTCTAAATTACAAAACACTGGTCGCAAGCAATCGGTTTCCAGGAGCCTGAAGCACCTTTTCCATTCATCAAACAAGTTTGTGAAGACCCTGAAACGGTTTGTCATTCATTTTATCTCCCAGACATTCAGAGTTTTAGCTGTTGTTGTTGTAATAGCAAAAAGCACCTTAGAAATCTGTGTGAAGATGCCACTACCAATGAAAGAGCAATCAGACAGAATGAACCTGATAAAATCACACCCGTGTGAGACTGACAGGGAAATAAAGCTCCAGCCCCGACTGAAATCAAGAGAATCTGTTCACTGTTACTCTTGGAAATGGAGTCAAACAGTAACAGAGTGAAATATTCTGTGCAAAGTGCAGCTGCTGAGGTATTTGGGAAGCACTGCCTCTGTTGCTGCTCAGTAATGAAACTGTGACATTTATTTCATTCATAACATAAAGTGCAGAGCTCAGATAACACATTTGAACAGTCCACTGGCAACAAGCTACACATGTAGAATTCTCTAACAGATTTGCAGTCCAGTGTGACCCAACTCTCAGCCTTGATAATTCAGCAATTGGAAGTTGCTTATGCTGGAATTATTTCTTCTTTCATTGCCAGGAGTGCTCAGTTTGCTTTTTCTCCTTTGTATTTTGATAAGAGTTTGATTTTTTCAGAAGAGCTCTCCAGAGTCTTTAAATTCCCTACGGCCATTACTTAACCTATGTAACTAATTGCAAGGGTAAATATTGAGGGGAATGATCTCTATAAACAGTTTTGAAGATATGTTGGCCAAATTACACTCAATTACACTAATGTAAATCCATAATAACCCACCTGATTTCAATTGAGTTACCTCAGATTTGCTCTGAAGTAAACGAGGGCAGAACTAAGCACATTAATGGTAAGTTTTAGTAAAATTTTGGATTTCCAAAGGGCATAAAGCCTCCATTATGTACTGTGTACTCTGGCAAAATTCTCACTGAAACTAAATATCAATGGCTTGCACAGATTCATAATTTCTTAGATTCACATAGTCTCACATCATCTAAAGTGATAAGCTTCCCAAATATTTTTTAGAATTCACTGGCTGAAGTTGCATGATCTATAGAACACAGAATTTTAGACCAGCTGATTCAATTTCTCTCCTCAGAACTTATCTATGATTCTTTGACTAAATTTGGCATGGATGTGAATAGACATGAAAGGTGTTTGATAGTGTTTCCTTCTCTCTTTAGGGGACTCTACTTATGTGTTATACTTTTTTACAAAGACAATATGTTAGTAACCAATGAAGATCAAATCCCAATTGTGGAAATCGATGACTCTCACAGTAGTTCAGTTATGCAGGATTTCCTGTGGTTCACAAAGGTAACGGGAGTCTAATTTCATATATTGCTTCTGCAAATGTTTCTAGCAGTTCCTAGGCCTCAGCTCATCATTCTGAATACATGAAATGATATCATTAACAAGCGAAATGATGCAGTGCTTTATCACTCATGTTAAATGCAATTTTCACAAACCATTTATGTGGACTGAATTCTGACTGGGTCACTGACAGCAGCACAATTAACTCTCCAATGTACAATCCTACATGAGTGATTGCTGTGTGGGTACACAGAGGTTTTATGAACATTTAGAGAAAGAGCCTAAAGAAATAACTAAAAGTTTTAAATTTGCTATTGTGGCTGTGCCATCACTCAAGATGTCTTCACACTATTCTTTTTATACCCCAAAAACTGCAAATCAATTTTGTACAATAGTTGAGAATCAATTGAAAGAGGTGCATGACGTTTACACAACACCTTCTGTGTCATGTTTATCCAGGCAGCTCTTTGCCATCCACAGAAACTCAAAACGAGCGATACCCACTGATTTTTCCAAGACCAAAATGCTGTTTAGCTTCATTTCTGCTTTTGTAAATGCTGAGAACAAAAACTGATTGAACTGGTTATGTTTTTGCAGTTGTCTTGCATGTGGGATGACATCAGGTGGCTGAGGCAGAATATGGCTGTGTCCGTGTCCTCATCCACAGCCCTTCAGGCCAGACAGAAAATGCTTTCAGCAGCAGCACAGCTACAGGTGGGTTCCATGGCATATTCTTGGCTATTAACTCAGGGACTTTCTGATCTCCAAGTGACAGTACTATCAGCTGTCCCTCCAGCCTGTTTTTTGGAGCAGCATTATCATCTATAGAGAAATGAAGCACTGAGCCCCTCCTGTCAGCTGGGAGCAAAGAGTTACATTAAAAGTGAGGAGGAGGAAACACAAAGAGAAGAAACAACAGTGGCAGATGAAGAAACAAACAGATATGAACCAGTAAATAATGACCACAGACAAGCCTGTGAGTTTGCAGGTTGGGAATTCAAGAGTTATAATCCTAATATTTGCTGCGCTTAAGCCACTTATAGGCCTATTCGTTATTAATTATTAATCTATTAATGAAGCATTTAAACTCTGGGTAAGATTTAGCACTCCCTTGTGCTGTATGGGAACCTGCAGCAGTAGGCAGCTTCTGCCCCTGACAGGAAGGACAAACACACTGCTGAAGTTGCCAAAATATGCTCTTTATTCACCCATGGCTCACAAATTACTCAAGTACAGCTTCTAGGGCAGAGTTACACTGCCTGACAAACAGGATGGCTCTGGTGGTGTGGATTGTCAGTGGGGAAATAAAAACAAATCTTCCATTAAGTTCTCCATGGACCTGCCAAAATTTTTAGGTTCAAATGTACCTTTGTGCACAGAACAAGTCAGATACCTATTTAAACCCTTAAAAACAGAGCCTAAGAGAGATTAAGTGGTGCACAGATCTTGCCAGTGGTAAGGAGAGCAGCACTATGTGCACAATTCATGCCATGTGTTAAAGGCATAGTAGTGACTCTCAGGATTGTTCTCAACCTCTGCTACAGATACAACCTGAGTCACTTAAACCTTCTGTGTCTGTGTCCACTACTCGTTATGCAAATAGAAATTATCTCCAGAAGAGCATTTTGACATTTATTGTAAAGCTTTGAAGGTGCTTTCATGATACCATAAAATCTCTAGCTGGAAGGCAGATATTTTCATTAAAATATTTGCTTTTATGGGAAAATACATTTTCAAAAAGCTGCGTGCACAACCCTTACAGCAAAAAAGTATATCCAGGCCTCACTTTCTGCTACCTTTTGCTCGAGTGGAGGCACCAAAGCTTCCCAGAAGTCTGTGGCACAGCCATGGAGTTAATGAAGATCCTCATCGCTGGGCACGTGTTGGCCACACGTCATCCTGCAATAACCTGCTTTACAGCAGCTCTGAGAGCCACACACTTTGGGGCCAGTATTAGGAATATCCATGTGGGGTTTTGTTTTACATCTTTTGGCAAGGCACGCTGCACAGGAGAGCAGCCTTCCTGGGCAACCACCTGTCTTGACTGATTTCCCCAAAGTGCCCCGAAATACATGGAATGCCAGCCTGCTGCACCTTTATTGGAGGACCACCTGTGTGAAGCAGCAGCTGCCTGTCAGTCCTTGGAGTTGTCACTAGAGAAAGTTTTAACTATATCTGCCGAATATTCCCTCTGGTGTGGTTGGCTCAGCTCAGGTAGCACATATTCCTGGGGTTAGCTCAGCTCCATTCCCCCTGTGCAGATTCCCTTTAGCAGAGCACAGCCAGCCTGCATGGACTGCACTCAGGGATAACCAGCATTCCCAGTACATCATGTTATTATTTGTTACCAGGGATGCAAAGCCCTGAGATACAGCAAATGTGCCCATGTGGTGTATTGCTCTGCTGATGAATTTCTGGCAAATTTATTGCCCTTAATGTCTGTTCTTTTAGCTTGGTCCCCTGAGGAACACAGGGATTGTCACCAATCTGCCAACCTCGAACGGTGTGTGGCCTAATGGGATCCACCAGTGGAAGGATCTCAATAAAGTTTATATGCTTGAATACATTTTATTGAGGAAGTTAATAGACTGACTCCACAGGAATTTAGGACAGAATGGAAAAGATCAGTGACAACACAGCTGCTAAGGGACTAGATCAGGAGAATCAGAGACAACAGGGACTGCAATTCTGCCTGTTGTTACCACCAGACAACTAAAACAAACAAAACACAAGTGATGGGGTGCCAAGCTGAGCAGACACAAAACTTTTTTAGTATATTAATCAGTCCCACATTGATATTAGTAGGTCCCCTGTTCTCTGTGCTGGAATCCATTCACAACACACACTCAGTGACAGTAAAGAACTGTTTGTTTTCATCTCGGCACATTCACGTGTTGCAGTGATTAATATGACAACTAGATGGCTACGTCTGCTGCAGTGATTTATCCCAGCTGGAGACACATGGATTAATACAAAATGTACACTCAAGACAGCCAGTGTTAATCAGAGAGGGAGGCAAACCTCAAAAGGCACAACAGTTAAAAAAGGCAGAGGGGAGGTGCTGTATAGACACCAACACTCTGCCCTGGAGAGGGATGGATAAAGCTAAAATTATTATGCCACATAAAGGGCAGTCACTGTGCTGACTACCTAGAGCTTATAAACAATTTAATAATACAGTTTATAAGTACATATTCCCTGCTAAGTACAGATAAATAATTTCAGGGTAATCTCCCAGCGTACAATGTCATTAGGTTAATGTACAGCATTTCCCTAAACATACAAAGTGCTTCATTGTGAATTTGAGTTCTCATTTTAAACTATCCCTCTCCCTTATCCAGCTTACTGTAGATCTCTCGAAAAATCACAAAGTAATGAGCATATTTTAAATGTTAGGCATTTTTCTTTAAGACATCTGGGAATCTCTTCAGTGGCTGGTCACTGGATTGAGTGTGTTTGCACCTATAAGCAGATGCCTTACTGTGTGAGGAAAGGGATTTTGACCAAAATATGTATTTTATGTGGAGCCTTTTAAAATTACTTTTCTTTAATCCTCACATATTTTCCTGGAGAGCTTTGCCCTGGTAGTTTTGTTAGCTTCTGCCTGTTTTGTCTAGCACATTCTTGGTATCTGAAGTAAAAGGAAAAGGGTCCATGTCTTTTCGAATCCTGTGTTTCTTCACAAACACGCTCCAGAGTTAAGCTACAGAATTATTTACATTCAACACAAATATCTCTTGCTTTTGTTCCTGAAAATAGTCTGAATAATTTTAAAACAGGGAACAGAAAATAGAGATTACAGTTAATGGAGAAAACATTTGAAGTGTCCGTTATGAGTGATTTGGGGAAAGGGGAAGAATTTTATATAATCTCTGACATTTGGTTCTGGGGAGGTTCAGATAAACACCAAGCTCTTCAGTAAGTTCAAATTAAAGGAGTCACCACTGGACTAACATTGAGTGCTTCTGAAAATTGCATCCTTCATCTTTACATGACTGAGCAAAAATAGGAAGTTCAGCCCAAATAAGTGAATTACCTTGCAGCATTTCCTTTTACAAAGGCATTGGGTCATAATGGTCTTTCTGCTGTTCTCCATTAAACATTGGACTAAACCCTGCTGGACCAAATACACTGGAGGACCCACAACTCAATCCACAAACACAACCTAGGGAAAAACTTTTCTTTTTGCCACTGAATGATCTGACTGCAGGGCAAGGGTTTGAGAAACACTGTGTGTCCAGTTTTTATTGAAGTCAACAGGACTGATGTCAGCAAGCAGAAAGCTAAGTTTAAAAAAATACTCGCCTGCTATGTGATAAATAATTTCTATTTTATAATTTGCTTCTTTTCAGAATTTGCTGGGAACTCACAACTTAGGCAGAGTTTTTTATGAACCAATCAAGGATCGACATGGTAATATACTGATAGTTACTGTAAGAGAAGTGGAGAGTCTGTATTCCTTTTTTAATGGCAAATGGATGCAGGTATCCAAACTACAAAGCCAGAGGAAATCCCTTTCAACTCCAGAGGAGCCAACAGCATTAGACATCTTGCTTATAACAATCCAGGTAGTGCTTTGCTTCTCTTACTGTGTGTTATTTGCTTTTGTAAAGCCTGTGCCAGAGCCCTGACTTTTGGAAGCGTCTTGTAGAATTTTAGGCCAAAGTCCAGTGCCCAATAAAATTAATGGCAAGGCTCCCACTGAAAGCAAAGACTTATATTACTTCCAGTGGGTCTGGGATCAGATCCTTAATATGCAAAATATCCAAGAGATTCGAAAGAAATTATTTCGAAGTCCTAGCAGAGAATAGCAGTTTCTATCGGTTTCGGGAAACCACGCTATGGAATTCTGTAGCAAGGGATATAAAAAGCTTTAAAATTCTCTGGGATGTTCTTAAGCACCTATACAGACACTTAGAATTTCTACACTCCAATAAGATTTTTCCATCCAACCTTGAAAACCAAATCTAGGTTTTAAACTTTACTGTTCTACTTAATAAACTTGTTCTGTGGGGTTCAGGGTTCCTTGGAGCCTGGTATAGTTGCTAAAGAATTCTTTACCAACCATAACCCACCTTTAATTTCTGCATAACGTGCTCCTAGACTTACAATTAGGAAAATACCAAGGTAAGGATTGACCTTGGAAGTTGCTTGGCATAGTCAGTTCAGTTACCAAGACTGAGAGACAGGGGGGTTCAGCCCTTCAGGAACTGGGGTATCTGTAAATTCATATTAAACAGTTTATGTTAAGATTAATACATGCTTTCTGTAGGTAACAGCAACCTATTTCTCATAATATATCAGTAGCCAATCTCCCTAAAAATCAGTTGCACAGTTACCCAAAATACAAGACAAATTGTCATCTTAGTCCCTACTTTAGCACCCTCAACTTGATGATGACTTGCTGTGGTTAATTTTTGAATTAGAGGCACTTTCTCAGGCAGAGACTCTGCTTTTCATACTGGGAAGTGACAGGCAATCAAAATATATGTTACCAGGTTTTAGGAACATTCAAAAATTTCCAAAAGACAATAAAACTTACCTGATCTATGTTAGATTTAATGTATTAAAGTGCGTTAAAGGTGTAGAAAAATGTCAATCTGGGCAAAAGTTTTATATTAGGAAAAGCAAAATACGGGCCTGATCAGATTTCCACAGAGATCCTAGTGGAAAAAATGTTCCCCTAATGGTTTACACATTCCTATCTAATGCCCACCCTTTCTTCTATTACTTGTTTAATCATCGAATGGGTATTTTGTTCATGAAGTGCTTGTGAAAATGAGGGTCTAATTGCACTGCTCAGAGCCAAGCATAGCACTGGCAGATAATTTGATGGTTCCAAGAGCAAAGGCATAAGGCCAGGTGTCTTAATCCTCGCCCACTGCAGAAGCACACATTTCTCAGGATGGCAGAAGACATCACTTTTTGGGTAGTTCTGGGGGACTGCTATACATAGCCTTAAAAATGTCTCCTGGCCTCAGCAAATACACCATCAATACTCACTTCTCCCATGCTCCATTTGTTGGTAAGGATATTTGCTCAGAAAAACGTTGCCACTAATTAAATTCTGTAAAAAACCAAGCCCCAGGCTCGCAGGGAACTTCCTGGTGACAGCAGGTGATACAGAACAGGTTTTGGAGAGCTGTAGGTTGGGATTTCTTTGGGGACAGTCCTGGCTCAAGCAGCTGCTCTCTCCCACCTGCCCCAGGTGACAGCTTTTCCCCAGTGCTCTCCCTGTGCAGCCTTGCACCAAAGCTGAATCAGGGAACTGCTCTGCCTGAAAAACAACTGCTTCTCTTCCCAAGCTGTTTTTCAGAGGAATCAGTTCCCTGACCCAGCTCACTGCTGAAATGATCAGACAGGAGGCAGAGGTGGGGGTTATCTAAGCCAGTTTAAACACCACAGTTGTAGAAGATTGAAAGCCCAGGTTGTTAGAGCCGATTCCTGCATGACATGGAGAGCTTAGGGATCCTGTGTATGGCTTTAAGTAAGAAGCTGTCCAAGTGCATCCAAGCTACCAGAGATTATTCTTATGCTTAAGCATGTGCTTAAATGCTTTGCGAATTGGGAACACACTTGAAACAAAAAGACGGCTGTAAAAACATTTGTTGCTTTTTGATCTCAAACTCTTCTGCTTCTGTGGAAAAAAAATATGAGATTTTTATGTAGGACTGTTTCCCTTAAAACAGGACATACTTTCCTATCACAAACGAAGTCAGCAACGCCTCCCTCCCGGCCTGTATCTGGGTTACCTTAAACTCTGCAGTTCTGTGGATCAAATCAAAGTGCTGGTGCTGCAGAAGTTGCCCAATGTCCTGTGTCACGTTAAAATCCGGGACAACAGCAATGTCTCCAAGTAAGTGAATATATATATATGTATTTACACACACACAGAAGAGAGAGAGAAAATTTGTTTTTAAGTTTGAAACAACTGATCAAATGTAAACGCTGAGGCAATTCTGCCATTGCAGAACTGTGGGTGGCACGAAGGTTTGGCTCAGGTGTGTGGCAGGAAGGCCTGGCTCAGGTGTGGGCCATCCCAGAGATTGGCTCTGAGCTAAACAGGTGCACCTGTGTTTTCCCAGCAGTCTGAAGGCCAACACAGAACATGTGCACATGATCCTATTGGTTTCTAAGGATGGTATTCCATGGTCATTCCAAATTCTGCACAGGGGTTCACCTGTTCATAAGATCACAGCCTGCAGCCCTGATTTGGCCTCCAGTGGATTCAGTGCCACCCTTCCTGTGGATTTTCACTGACCACAGGCTGCTGGTGTGGGTGATTTTCCTGTTTATTCTCTTGTGTCATACCTGGTTTGTCACTCTAAACCACAGCAAACACACAGCAACTGAAAACCATATTTACAAATGTGACCACCCAATGAACTGCTGTGCTCTGGGAAAGCCATTTTCCCTTTGTCCATTCCTTCCCTCATCCACTGGCAAGTGCACTGTTTGTACTGCCTGGTCCTTGCCTAGTGGGCAACATATTTAAGTGGCTTTTTTTTCGGGAGCTTTTTAATCCTGTATAATTTCAGAAACCAGCTGAGAATTTTGCATGAGGAAAAAGGAACTGGATATCTACATGGATAACAAGGATATCCAGAATGTAGTAGTTAATACTAACAACAATGTTGGAAGGAATATAAAGCCTAATGCTTCACAGTTTATAACAATCCCTGACTCTTGAAGTTTAAGACCAGATCTTTATTTAGGAGCAGACTGTACCACATCTATTACTTGTCTTGTAGTGGGATTTCCTGTACAGTTTTTTTTCCTTGAATGTCTGATTCTGGCTGCTTTTCAAGACTGAATACTGGGCAGGGTGAATTAAGGATTTGATCCAGAGAGATGATTCCAATGTTTATCAGGTCTCACTGGATATATGTTGAGGAAAGCAGGAAGTTCTTTGGCTGCAGTGAGTAGAAGAGAGTGCATCACAGAGATTAAACTTTCCACTAATTGTTGTTATTTCCAAAGCATGTTTTTTAAAAGCACTGTGGTAAATAGGGAACAAAGAATATGAAAGAGAAAACCTGGAGTGAGAAGCCTTAGCGAAATATTTCAAAGGCAGTTGGACTTTCAGAGGCTTGCAAGGCATGTTCAGCCTGGTGTACATGTGCTAGAAAAATTCAACTTTTCAAAGTTAGATTTTTAGCCCCAAACAGTCGAGATTGCACAGGTTTAGAACATTTGGGTATATGAGGATTAAACGATCAACAGATCCCAAATGCACATACACTGAATTCCTGCTTGTGCACTGAACTTTTGTTATATTTCTAATTTTAACTTGACTTAACATACAGAGATGAGTGGGAATGGATCCAAACACTTTCTGGCTCAGAATCTGTGGAAAGTATGGATCATACTTCAGACTGCCCTACTCAATTGTTCTTGTATGAGCTCCAGACGGCAGTGAAAGCTCTCCTCAAACAGATCAATCTACCTCTGCATCAGGTATTTGCCTCTGTGGTATTTATCACCTTTTTAAAAACTGATTCTTAAGAACACAACTAAGAGCTACAAACTGTGTAACTTGCAAGTAGGGATTCAGTGTCAGGGCTACCAGGCAAGCAAAGCAGAGCAGTTTGGTATTCTGTTATTTTAAGTGTGTGGAGGGGGGGACATGCCTGATAAACAGCTTCCTGGATATTTGAACATATAAGGATTAAGAGACAAACTTCAATTAGCTCCTATTTTTGCATCTTTTAGCATATTTGTGACACTTCAGGCAGGTGCAAATAATCACTCCTGCATTAAACTGGTAGTTCTGAGCACCTTTACCCAGCTGACAAAGAAAAATATAGTTATTTTTCCAGGCAAGCAGGGCAACTGACTGTTGTTTGGGAGCTTTAGAGTGAGGCTGTATAAAAGGCCTGCTAATGACACAGCATTTTGCTGTTCTTTTACACCCAGATAAATGTAGCACTTCTAAAACACGTATCTCCAGACCTCCAGATTGCTGTGGGTGAGGAGAGGTATCTGGCTTCTGGCTTTACATTTAGGTACAAGAAATGCATAAGTGAATAAATAAAGTCAGGGAGGAGAATCTATGATGCGAAAGATCTGTGAAAAAATAAGCTAAGAAGTTTGTTTCTTGTTTACATGAAGTCCATTTTATTTTGGTCTACAAGGGTAAAGAGGTCTTAAAGTAGAAGTAAATCTTCTTTATATTCACTTCAAGGTCTGTCTGTGCAGCTAGAAAGATGTGGCCTTAAAATAAATTAATCTGGTTCTACATTTCTTGATTTTGAAAGGTTTAGGCTTTGCTTTTAAAAAGGAATCCATCAGTGCTGTACCTTCTAGCCTGGGAAGAGCCAAGTAAGACTCAAGTAAATCCAAAATTAAGACAGATGGTGTGCTGCCTTGTGGTCAGTCACTCTAATTCAATAGGGCTCTGTACAGGTCTCTATGTTACTGTATTTGCTGGCAGGTTATAGCTTTTGTGCATCTTTTTTCTTTTTCTTTCAGAGTTAGGGACTAAAATATTTAAATCACTGTGCAATATGTTCCTGAGGCTGCAGCTCAGCCCAGCATTTGAGCTCATCTATTGTGCACGAGAGACAGACATCAACATGACCTTGCAGTTCAACACAGTTGCAAATGGTTTGATTGCTCAGGACCAAACTTTTATGTTAATGAATTGAATTTTTAATTCAACAGATTTGTTGATGTGTTTTTATTATTTTTGTGGTGAACAGGAGCAGGGGCAGTGACACTGGTGCACAGCCAGGGTGCAAAGCAGTGCTGCACACAGTGGCTCTGAGCAGCCTCAGCCCAGCTCCTGCCTGTGCCATTTTCTCCTGCTGCAGCACTTGTTAAACCTTTTCAGTGCTGTGTTGAGGGAGAGCTGCATATTTCTCTTAACCAACCCTAAATTGAATCTTAAAGGTTTTTAATTGAATCCATTTTCATGTTTTCACATAATTATGCAATCATAATCTTGAAAAGCACATGGCATGTGATCATTTTCTGCCTAATAAGAAACATAAATGTTGTTTTCAGGGGGGTTGTGCCTGCGTGTGTTGTTTTAATGTGGAACATTGCAGCTTTAAATCTTTATTTTATGTAGTGACATGAACCCACATTTAGACCCGACTCCCCCTCCCGCCCCCCGCCCCAAATATTTATGTTTTATAAAAATTCCGAGCTTGATGTTGTGCAAATTTTCTTTAATGTTTTATATCATTTGGGGTGTTGTTTATATAAGTGCCATGTTGTAATTCTCTCCTATTTCTTCCCCCGCGCGTGTCCCTGTACAGGCAAAGCACTTCCGTCTGTACACACAGGAGGTGTTGGAACTGGGTCACAATGTCTCCTTTCTTCTCCTGCTCCCCGCCTCAGACGACGTCTGCACTGCCCCAGGACAGAATAATCCTTACACCCCACACTCAGGATTTCTTAACCTCCCTCTTCAGATGTTTGAACTCGGTATAGTAGCTTGCTTCACCCAGAAATATTAACCCAGTCTCCTTATAATAAAATCACAAAGTTGTATCTGTTTTCCCCCTTGTCCCAGTGGAGAGTCAATAAATCACATGATGGCTTTGGCAACAACACTACCTATAACTGTGTACAAGTTACAGAGGGAGCAGAGCGGTTAAAGCATATACTGTAGCCATCGTTATTGAAATGCAAAGCAGAGAGCAAAGCCCACAGTTATCCAGTATGCGTCTATAAGCTTATTTGGAAGATGATGTTCTTTAAAAAACAGAACCAGAAAAAAAATTGCACACAACACAGCAAGGTTGGAGTCTGAAAGGAGATGCAAAAACCATCCCTCTGAGTTGTCAAGAGGATAACCACCGGTTCTGTAATGAGAATATTTGCAGTTCCTGATTGCAGATGGTCCCACTCGAGGTCTGACTCCCTCACAACACTGTGAAAGGTCTGAATAGGTTTTCCCATGTGAGGGTCATCTTCTTCCTTTTGATTCCTGGAAAAATGCAGGAGACTGTCCTATTGCTGTGGTGAAAGAAAAGCCCGTTGTGAAAAATGCCAAAGCACTGGACTTGAATCTCTTTCTTTAGGGAGCACATCCTGCACTGTAGCAGATTCAGGCCTCTTGTTCCACTGCATTGCTGACTGGGTAAGAATTCCCCAAAACAGAGTTTTCCAGCTGTTTCACAGAAGGCATAAGATGCTTTAGCTTCAAGGTCCTCTATTTCTCATTTCTTCTTCTTTGGTCCACAGAGAAAAGAAAGGTTCCACATAAAAGCAGCTCATAAAGACTTAATAGTTCTTTTTAGAAAGAATATTATATTTAAGTATGGGGACTGCTGAGCCTTTCGCATCAGTCTGCTCTGTTTCCTTCTGGCCTGTAAAACTGGGTATCTTTCCTTCATATGCCTTTGAGAAGAAAGATATGAGCCAAAAGTGATGGAGTTGGTACAGCAGGAGCCACTACACAACAGGCCTCTTGCAGCAACTGTGTCCTCAGTGATGTCTCTCTCAGGTGTTATGTGACACCATCACCTTCCTGTCTCTATATATCAGTGCTATATTTAGATATTAATGGAGGGTCTTACCATGCCTATGTTTCTGCAGTCACAACAGATCCATGACCCACCATCACCCAGCAACACAAATTTCATTTGGATCGGGCAGAAATACATGACTGTATTCATGCCACATCAGCCACAGCACACAAAGTGGTGCCTGTGACAACCCTGGGGTTTTGTGGTGGCTGTGGGAGGACAGATGCCAGCTGAGCTGCCATAAAATTCTGAGGGGTACAGCCACACAATACATGGCGTAGTCTGCCAAGGAAAAGTTACCCCTTCAAAGGAAAACTAATGTAATTGAACATGAAGAGTTAGTTCAGTGCTTTGGGTCACATCCCATGGCTGCAGTGCCCTAAAGCCAGACTTTTGTCTCCTGCCCTGCCACCCTGAGGCCTGTTGGCCTCTGTGTTTGGAGCACATCATTTCTCCTGGTGAGAGGGGACGGTTGTGTCACTGTGCAAATTAATGCATGACGCATATTAATGTCTGATGAAATTAATCTCCACTCTAGAGGTTGTGCAGACTATTTAACTCTCGTTATGTGGCACAGAGGCCACAGGCAGGAGTCACTCTCAATTCTGGAGCACAGTCTGCATCGGGCTGGCAAAGCAACAGGCACTGCCTGGGGTGATGTGGTGCAGGTAAACACGCAACAGAGACATCTCTCAAAAGGAATTCCAGGTGCAGCCCTCTCTGTTCAGCAATGTTGCTACAGTGGGAAAGCAGTTCATGGTGGAGAAAACAGTATGGAAATCTGAATTTTACTTTTGAGTGTTTTTTTTCAGTAAGCAATCCTCTGGCCAAAGGCAGACGACATTTCTATATGACTTATTATATATGTATCCCTGATGTTCTATAAAGTGACTGTGATTCACATCTCAAATATTAGAAGCTTCCATTCCCCATTAGCTGGTGGCTACCAACTATATAATTGCATAACCACAAAAGACTATGTTGAAGTAACATTTGTTAAAGTAACATTAAAGGGTCTGACTTAAAACCACAAAGGCTCGAAACTTCAGCACTGGAGCCGAAACCGCGGCTGTAATTCACTCAAGAGTCCACCACATATGGCACATGTACTGTAAGACCACACACTACTCAGACTGGATCCCTGCTATATCTAGGCATGGCTAAAAACAGAAGGTAGAATTCTTCCTTTCACTCTTTTTTTGTGAGATTTCTATGTTCAGATTAGGCCTTTATTGTTACAGTGTTTGTGACTGGATTTCTTCGTTTGAGAAATTCCTCTCAATTATTCTTATCATGTTGTTTGCAAGGGATACGTAAACATGTGACACTGTTTTCGTTTCTCTTTTTAATATTTATCATAAGAATGTATGCAATTTACACTTGAAACACCCTGAAAAACACCATGCCCCAATCCAGAATCCAGTGAACGGACAGGCATTCGCTGCTCTAACAAGATCATGTTGTATGTTTGCATTTACTGAAGCACCAATGAATGGGGAAGTATTTCTGAAAATTTGTTCTCCCTCAGAAGTTCCAGTAAGTCTGCACTGCCATTTGTAGAGGGAACTGCTAAGTTTTGCCTGAGCAGTTACAGGTTCTGGAATAATAAGCTTTATGAAAGCAGGTAAATTAGCATTTGAGAAGCTCCGTGGCACTGAAGCTGTTCTGTCTCTGCTACCTCTGATGGAGCTCCGAGAGCTCTGTGCTGCTCCTAAGTCAAATTACACAAAGCAAAGGGTCATGTCTGAACTTTCTGTGTCACCCTTCTGCAGGAGAGTTCGGAGGATGATGTGTGGCAACACCTAAAAGGGTTTTGTTTCCCCCAAACTGTGCTATCACTGCAATGCTTTTCCTGCTGAGTCATTTACACTGAAGTTCCTGATTTAAGCCAGTACAGCCCAACAGAAAGTTATTAGCCTTCAAAATGATCCTTTCTTTCTGAAACACTCAATTAAAAGAAATAAAAGATGAGTTTAATTTTCCAGTCATGTCACTTCTTTCTTGATAAAAGAAATGATGAGCTATAAAAACCTCAGGAACAGCCTTTCTGATTGAAGCTATCAAGGGCAAGATAGCCTCTGGAGCTGCATACTAAGGGCCTGATTATCCCTGCACTTAGATATAAATTAGAAATGACTCTTTTGAAATCAGTGAAGTTACAGATTAAATCCAGTGTAAACGAGAAGAGAATTAGAGCCTGTATTATTTATTTCTAGCTTAAAGTAACCCATCCAGAGCTGGTTACTATATTTAATAAAATCTGTGTTCTGAAACCTAAGGATTTCATATTTCATAACCAGAATGTAACAATTTTCCTTTGCGCTTGGTCTTTTCACAGTTCATTTTTGCTGCTACAAGGAAAAATTTATAAGCCTGTATTGCCGCCTTTCTGCTGTCATAGAGCTGGACTCTCTGAAAACCCAGCAATCCCTGAGGGAAGCAATTTCAGACAGTGAAGTCGCTGCAGCCAAACAAAGACACCAGCAAGTTATAGACTACATACAGGTAACAGTCTGTTTCTGACTATTCCAAGGAGATTTTAAGGTGGCTTTCTTAAAAATTGCATAGGGCTGTAACTTGAAATCTAAATGGAGAATTATTCACAGACATCATAAAAAGAGCAGTTGTATCAAAAGTGCAATTCTGTTTTTATGAAATTCAAACCCAGAACATGCTTTCCTTAGTTGTTGCTTTTATAGAAGGATTTTTATGGGCAAAATCAAATGACAGTTATACTAGACTGTTATAAAGAAATGTGTCAGTCTGCTTGTAAAACTCCCTCCCATCTAACGTGAGGTAAGTTAGCACCATGTCTGGGCATTCAGTTGTGTAAGAGTTTTTCTTTGTCTGGATGAATTGAGGACATTTTCCACCACGATAAGGTGGCAATTAAAAAGATTAAAATGAATATTCAGACTGGGTTGTGGAGACAATCTGCATCAACAACATCACACTCAAGAATGCAGCTCTGCATTTCAGATGGCAAGCTGGCCCCAGAAAGGTCTGTGAGTCTGGCCAGCACCATGCAGTGGCACTGCTTCAGTCCTCCAGTGCAAAAGGACCACTAATGTTACCATCCTTATCTAATTTGCTTATTCTCTGTCTCTCACACTGATTTTTCTGGACTGTTCCCAAATCAAGACTTTACCAACTCAACTCAGGGCTCTTTGAACTCCACCCCACTGTTCAGCATAGCAAAGCCTGTCCTTTTGTAAACCATTTCTAGATAAAGCTCATGACCTTTGCAGAGTGTGTCTGTGGACATGGATGAGCTGCCTTTCTACAAGAGAGATGCAGATAAGTTTTCAGCTCTCTGTTCTTAATATTCAAGGAATCTTCTGCTGGAACAGGGGCCAAGACAACCATTTGTCCCACTGTCAATATGTTTGGCCCTCCATAATTATGAACAAGATGATAATATTCCTATTCCTTTGTTCTGCATTCAGACCCCCTTTGCCTTATTCACTTGGAGCTTTTGGCAACCTTCAGAGAGGCAGAGAGGAATGTTCCATTGTACTTTCACCTCTCAATCATCTCCCTCCCTTTCACCTTTCCATTCTCACACTCACAAAATCCAGCTTTTTCCCAGTATGCAGGGGAATTTGGAAGATTTTTATCCTTCACATCAAAAATAAGCATATGTACATTAATATGCATGTACTGCATAGACAGCGCTGTGTCCCTCTTCTCCAAAGTGTCTGAGTCACATCTATAGGCTGGGAAAAACGTGGGAGAACATTTTAAACTTCACTGCTTCGTGCTGAATTATTGTGACAGTGTATTGGGCTTGTCAGGTTTCCTCTCAAAATGAAAACCAGCTGTATTCCACCTATTGGCAAAAATCTCTCAGCCCACCACACACCGCAATCTTCAGCGGTGACCACGAAACCGCAAGAGCATTTGTGTGATCCGAGATCTAAGACAGTGTTGAAGTCACTACACAAACCAAACATTGTAAAGAGCAAGGGAGTCTATATAAATGCAGGTCTGAAAAGGAGTCAGAGGGCAACTGAAAAGTAAAAATTATTTTAAAAAAAGAAAAACCAAACCCAACCAGCAGATAAGGTGCTTGAAGTCTTTACCGGAATGTTACACAGCAAGGAAAGAAATCTACAGACACGGAGACTAAAACTGAAGTTAAGCTGTAATTTATATCCTGTAATGCTTCTAATGTTACTAAATTTTAAAAGAACCACAGTTCATTAAAATGACCTGCAGAATGGCATCAAGGGGAAAACCAACAGGATTTGCATTTTATTAAACTGCATGCAGTATGATTCTTGTTTGGGGCTGAGGGAGGATCACAGAAAGGAAGTATAAAATCTCTACAGTCAAATAGGTGAGATGTTTGCTAACTGGCATTCTCTTCATGGAGCTGCACTGAAGTCTTGAAATGATGCAGGATTATGAATTAATCCCTGAACCATTTGCTATTCTTATCAGTGTATATTCTTAGCTCAAATTAACTCAGTGGCAAGGCTTGCACTGACATCATTGGAGTCGGGATTTCACCTTTACATAAAAATGGCCATACTAGGTCAAAACAAAGATCCATCTAGCCAGCTACCCTCTCTCCAACACGGCTCATCAAGAACTACCCCAGCTAATGTGGCATCTACAATATCCCTTGGGAATAAATTCCACACTTCGAATATGCATTTTGTGAAGTATCTCCCACTAAGAGTAATTGCTGGAGAACTCAGAACATCAGTCTCAGTCTCCTTCTCACTGATTCCTCTGTCACTCCCCTATTTGACAATTCTCACTGCACAAAGTACCCCTCACTTTTGCCTCTCCATTTACTCACCCAGGGCTCTCTGCATTCTTGCAGAATGTTCCTTGTGTAACTGCAAAGCAGTTTCCCGCAAACACTGCAATATTAATATGAAGGCTCACTGTAAATGCAGAACTTTCTGTAGAAGTACAAGAGATGTTCTAGAAGGGCACTGCAGCAGGAGGATATTATACTCACAGCTACTGTCATTTCATGGTTGCAACAACATTTGCCCAGTCATCAATGATCCTGAATGCCTTGAAGATGTTAAAAGGGTTCCATTATCAAAAGACTTCAGATCCACATTAAACAGCATCTTTCCTCTCTGCAGAGATGCTTAAAGCTACATCCTGCTATTGATTTAGGCATTTGTGTCTTTTTATCTCTCAGGCATGTGTTAGAACTGGTTTTGTGTAGATTTATACTTTTAAAATGTATGCAGACCAAAATGATGATAAGGGAGAAACCTGCAGTTTGACTCATAGCTGTGCCTCAGCCCTCCACGCAGGTATATTCTTCCACACCTGTGTATGTTCTTTATCTGTTAAAAACTAGATATAAACTGAGCTGGTTTTGACATCCCGGGTTTGCAATGGTGAACTCTCGCTTTCACTCCGGTACAGAATGAAAGCACATTTCAAGTGTGCTACAAATTGATCAAAAGACAATTTTCACTTTCTTTCCATGTCAAATTTTAGGCCTGAGGTACATAAATTGAGAGTCTGGTGGCCCCTGCAGTGGTGGAAGAGAACAAGCACTTAATCAAAATCACTTCAGACCACCTCAACCTGAAGAGTCCTGTCAGAGGATTCTGCTGCTCTCTGTTGGCAGTGACCACACACCTACTTGGACACTTGAAGAAAGCACACACTTAGAAAGAATTAATACTCAACTGTACTTTTTCACCATTTTTTTCCCCACAGCAAATCGATGAGATCTGGAGGGAAATGAGATGGATCACAGAGGCACTGCAGTATGCAAGGTACAAGCAGCCAGCAGCTGGCCTGCCCATAAAGAAGTTTGTGGATCTTTCAGAAGAACACCCTCAAAAGAAAATGAGCTCCACCTCTTCACACCTAGACTGTCTTCCTTCACCTCCCCCTTCCCCTGAGGCCAGAATCCAGAGGAGAAAAGCTGTGAGTGGTAAGAGAATTTTCCTGTGTTCACCAAGTGCAATCTTTGAACTCACTTTTAATTATAACAGTTCTTGCACGTCTTTTTATAAACGGAGTAAATTTTTTCCCGTACCTGCCAAGGTACTTTAACAATCATTTCACCAATCATTTGCCACTCAATATCCTGAGATCCTCATACAAGCTTTACAATCATTTTTTGCTTTCAACTCCTCAGAATTACTGCTCATCATCTGCCAACTTTGTCACCTCACTGTTCCAGATCATTTAATGAACAGGCTGGAAGTGACAAGTGCTACCACTGGCTTCTCCATGATGTCCAGAATTCCAGCAAAATCCAGCCATGGTGAAAGCTGACTGCTTCATTTGTTGCCTACACCAAAAATCTGTTATTATTATATGGAAGGAGCTTTCTCTTCATCCTAATTACAGCTTCCTTGCTGCAGAACCTGTGGTAAAGAACCTTGTCAAAAGCTCTTCAGAGCTCTGAGGATGGCTGTGTATTAACTGAGCACATGTTCAGAGTTTTATTACACTGATGAGACATGAGTTGCTAAGCAAAAGCTACTGACCCTTTCTCATCACTCATGTATCTATTATTCTTCCCCACAGTTTCTATTAATTTGACAGAATCTCAGATTTTTCCATAGTTCCCATTTGTCACCTTCTGTTTCTCTGATATTACAGCCATTTTCTTTCCAGACTTTGACCGTTCCTCTGCTTTGCAGCAATTGTTTCTTATGCCCTTGTTTTGTTTTGATAGAGCAAATTTTAGTGCCAATAGTCCAATTTAACAGCTGTTTTCACACACCTCAGTGTTCTCAGTAGTTTAGACAAGCATTTTAAAACACAGAATTACACAAATAAGTACTCACCTCACTGACAATTATTGCTTCTCTACATAGCCAGAAAATTAAACTGATGAAAGAAAGGGATCACAGCAAATAAAGATGAAGCAAATGAAACACTAACACCCATTTTGCTAACAGAATTAGGAGTTTAGAGAAAAAAAACAAACCATCATTCTGCTGAGCTGGCTTTAAGCAACAAGTAAATGAAACAGCAGAAACAAAAGCAACAGAAGCTGCATTAAACAACTGCCATGACCATTTTGGTAATTGCAATTTGGGTGGGTTTTTTTCAATTTGGCAGTTTTATACAGTTAAGAAAAATGAATCAATCTATTCTGATTAGATTTCATTAGGTTAAAAGAAAAGAAACCTGAAGAGGCTGCTGCTTTGATCTGCTCCATTACACAGTGGTGTTCATTCTCACCACCCCTCCCTGAGCTATTTTTCCCCTGTATTACAGACCATGAATGCAGAATAATCCTCAGCTCTGGCACCGTGAAAACTGGAGCATTATCTTGTCCTGCATGTGCTGGATTCATTATTGCTGGGCTGTGTGGCAACTTACACCAGCTCCAAGGGAACAGTCAATATAAAATCTCTGTTTTATTCCTTGGATCTCATATAAACTATCCAGGGCAATGGAACATCAATCCATTCTATCACACGTGCCACTACTTATTACATTATTGATTCTTCTGAAGCCAAAAGACAGCAGTGATTTCGGTGCCAGTGTGAGATTTGCTCCACAAATTCACATTTGAACTATTTGTGTCTGCTTTGAATTTGAATACACATCATGCACCTGATGGACAAAAGGGTGGTTTTTGTTCAGCAGCCTCCACGTTGTGCCTCGAGCCTCTCAGCACACATGCAGTCACACCCTGCTCACAGTTATAGAGGCATAAATCCAGAAAACTCAACTGATATCTTTTAATAAAAACAGAACCTGGATTAGAAATTTTCACTCTCCCAAATCTCCATCTCTATGAAATTTAGTGAAAGCAAGAAAAAAGAAAACAGATCCTTTCAGAACTTAGTCACTTAGTCCCAATTCAAATTCAATTTTTTTCCCTGTACTTAATATAAATTAATCCTTTCTGCCTTTCCTAATTCTACAGCACCACTATAACACACCTGTAAATCCTCCCTGATAAATCCTCCCTGACTCCTGCCTTTGCTGTCACCTCAGCCCATGGCAATTCCACAGAGGCAACACACACACATTTTCAGAATTGTAGATTTGATTCTAAATTAAGACAAAAAGACCCATAAACGACAGCTCAACAACTTCTCTCCCATGCTTGTCCTTAGTGTTAACCCGTTCTCCCTGCAGACTCCCAGCCCTGCTCAGACGAGGAAGGCTGCTCTGAAGTGTTCCTGCCCACCGACAGCGACTACGACTCCAGCGACGCTCTGAGCCCCAGGGAACTGGACCTGATTTACTCCTCATCCCAGGACATCTCCCAGCAGGCCGGCAGTGGCCTGGGAGGCAGCGCTCCTGACGTCCTCCAAGCCCACGACATGAAGCCCTGCCTGACTCTGCGGGAAGGCCTGATGGAGCGCGGTGCCTTTGATCCTCACGCTGAATGTTGCACAGAGTCCATGAGCAATCTGACCCTGTCGGGGCTCACATCAAAAAGCACAGACAAGTCCTCCAGCTCCAAGCAGCCATTGGGCTTTTTAGGGAAAAAAAAGCTCGGGAAGCACCAACATTACAACTACTTCAGCCGGCAGCACCGCTGGCTGCGCGTGCACAGCGAGACACAGGCGGGCTCCCTGTCCGAGGGGGTCTACACTCAACATCTCATGAGATCTCCAGATTTGTCCCAAGAACCTACCTCCAGCGAGCAGTTAAAGAGCCCCATCGATGGGTCTCGGAGCACTTTCGTACCTCATGCATCCAGCCTGCCAGAGGATGAGCAAGGCAAGTATGAGGAACCAAGGCAGAACGTCCACAGGATACATGTGGAGCCTTATGAAACGACACTGGGGGATGAGGAGGGCAAGCCCTGGTCTGTAGGACACACAGATGTGCACAGTGCTATGCAACAGACCACGGGTCCAGATGAGCAGCTGGGTTCTGCTGTCCCAGAAGTCTTCAGCAGCACCCTTTAGCCCCAGAATCCTGCATGGCTTCCCATGAGATATGAGCATTATGCACAGAAGGCCACACTTTCAAAACTGCTTGTAAAATTCCAGCTCCTGAAACAGCAACTCACACCACCCAGAAGAATCCTGATCTTTTGACTTCCTCACCAGCTTTCTGGTCTCACAGAGGTATCATCTGTCAGGGTGCGAGCATCATTGTTATTATTGGCATCTGCAGGTTTGCAGGTAGAGTCGCAACAATCACCACATAATAGAACAATCTGTGGCTGCAAATCCAGTAACAGCAGGTCTCTTGATGTCCATGTTTCTCTGAGCATGCAAAATTTTAAGCATGAGTGGTTCTGCCTGCAAGTTAGCAGAAACTTGGTGTCCTCATGTTAGGGCTGTGTCCTAAACTTCTATTTACCTGTTTTCCGCTGTTTCCTGTAAATTTTTCTACTTCTCAGCCTTCTCGAGTGGATTTAGGTTGGATATAACTGGAGTGCTAACTGGTCTAGTAACACAAATAACCCGGAGTTTCTAGGCATTTAAAGAAGTGAAAATTCTTTCAATATCTACAAAATGCAGTCAACACCATCTCTGACTGCCGTCAGAGCCTGACATAATTAGCACAATGGGGTTTTTTCAGGAGCTTAGATTTCAAATTATTTATGTAGCAAGTTATTTTAAAACCTTAGGAGGTGAACCTTTCAGGTCAAGAGCAGGCAAAGTGAGGCCAGGTTCTGGAAGAAAAATAGGCAGGATCTGCATGAGATTGAAGCAAAGTTTGCTCTGTCTTCTGCCACCACACGAGCACAGTTCATTATGTTGGAATAACTCTTACACATCCCTTGGAAAGAAATGCCCCTATTTTTGTTCCTGAATATTCACTGTAATTTGATCACCACATCTGAAATTGGGATATTCTGGCAATTCAGATGAAGGAAATCTGGGGTGCAGTTTGAATCTAAGATTTTATCTTTGGGCCCCCAATAAATCCTCATATCATAAGGAGGGTGGGAGGTGGTGAGTTATCATCTTGGACTGTTTAAAGGCAGATCACACTGAGTCAGGATTTTGTCCTTTGCAACCACAATAAGACTTAAGAGAACTACAGAAGATGATCTCAAAAATGAAATCTGTATTAATGAGAACCATAACACTGGAGTCACTAAGAAACGAACTAATGTGGAGAGAAACCCCAGCTGTTGCACAAGCTTTAATTTTTCTTAAACAGTTCTTGAAGTTTAATTTTATAGGCCACATTCCTGCTGGTTAAATTCCCTCACTCCGTGTTTGCGCAGCCTTCTACCTTTCGGTTTTCCAGCCTCCAGGTGGATACATTCTAAGGCCCCCAATAAAGAGATTTGAGTTAAATAGTTGAGTTTACAAGTCCTTGAGGTAAAGGTAAGGATTTGGGCCCATGATCTGTGGTCCTTATTAAAATAGCACTTCCATAACCCCAGTGCTATTAAAATCCCTGTGAACTCAATCCATAAATTCAAAAATAAATGTTATTCACTATTTTATGCTTGGTCAGTATGTGGAAGCCAAGAAGAGTCTTTGCAGTGATAGGAAAGGCAAAATCTTTCTCACAAGGGATTTACATTTGTAACTTCTCTTTTTGGGAGCGGGAAGTTAACTTTTTTGCACCAAAAATATTCATTCATTACCTGATCCAAAGCCCAGTGAGGATGGAAAGACTTCCATTCACTCCCACAGGGTTTGGATGAGACCCACACTGAAAATTCCTGTGGGTGAGAGCACGGGGGGGGAGCAGAAGTGTCAGTGCCCATTTGCAGTTAGAAGGACACACATTGTGTGGAGCTGGGACTGGGGAAGGCCCGACTCACCCTCCAGAGCCAAGCAGAGATGTCACTGAAGGCACTCACAGCTGGTTGCTTTAGATTCTGTTCATTAGCAGAAGGCTTTGCACCAGGGAGACAAACAATGTGATGCCCATATGCAGAGCCAAAATAATTTACACAGTTTTCTAGTGCCCAGCCCCTCATCCAGGCTCCCCTAATCTGTCTCACCTCAAAGTAAAACTGCCATAAAACTGCCTATTAAAGAATAAAAATAACAATGCACTGAGGCCATATGTTTTTGCAGGAAGTGACAAGTTATTCCACATACTTCAGTAGTCAAAATAGTAATTAATAGTTCTGGGTTTAAATACTTCTGTTTATAAATATGTGTTCTTTGTTCAAAATTGCTGTCCCTACGTATTCTGAAACTCGTTAAAAGAATAGCCATGAACACCTAGAGATAAATAAATAGTAGATAGCGCTGCCTTTCAAGTACTGCCATAACACTAATCATAATAGTTCTGCAGTTCTCTTAGGAAGATCACTCACACATTTCACAAGCAACTACAGCAATTCAGAAGAATCCTGCAAAATGCAAAATCCAGCACTGTCATCCCCACTCCAGAGAGGCACGAGTGACTCTGAGCAGAGCTGAGTAAAGGCTCACAGTCAGGAATTAAATTAAAATTAGGACTCAGACCTTTGCTTCAATTACTGGGAACCCTTTCTCCACGTTGAGCTCAAGTGCCCCTCCAAGGACTCTTGCCCAGAGCTGGGCAGTGCTGTGGCTCAGAGCCCACAACACACCAGAGTTTCCTCAGCCAGCAGACAGTTCATTCAGCCTGTGCCCACTCTGTATCAGCTGAAGCTCTGCTCTCAAGAGGGTACTTGGGCTTGTAACTTCTGGATCTCTCTCTCTTACTCATCCATCTTGCCACAAAACCTTTGTCCTGCATTTTCCAGGGAGTGTATTTTCTCCTGGGCTGAACCCAGTCCTCCTATTTCTAGACATGACATTGACTGGCTAGAAAAGTGTATGATGCTTTAATATTATGACTCCACAGAAAGGAAAAAAAATGTGGACCAAATCTCCCCATTTAGTGGTCTAAACCTTTCCTGTTTCTGCTGGTAGGAAGTGAGACAAACTGCAAGGTTTACACTCAAAATTTCTTGCACTCACAAGAAGGCTGTCTGCTCATGGACAGTTTGCCTCAAGACACCTGTGGCTCAAGCATTTATTTCCCATGCTTCTTGTTTGTGTTTTTTTTTGCTTTAAATACTAATTAACAATTGGATTTTGTACGCTGTAAGACACGGAGAATTCTATAAAATAATGTTTTTAAATATAGACTTTAAAAGGGGAAAAGGGAGACAGAATATTTTATCCTGAGAGTTTAAAGTGTTTTGGAAAGAGATGGTGCATCTTCAAATTCTCTGTGGTATAAAGAAATGCATTAAGTTGCTGGTCAACTCTTCCAAAGTGATTAAATGCATGGCTCATGACTGTTATGTAAAACTTCAATACAGCCTTACAAACAACAAGGGTATAGTGTATCTGAAAATAAGATATACAGCTTGGAAACTTACTCTGAATTTCTCTGAGGTGTTGAACTTTGCCATCAGCAAAAAAGTGTTTTTAGGAAACAGGCCTCTAATTTTCAGACAACAGAGATTTCATCAGGTTGGGTCTCTCATTTTTCCACTACAGAAACACATTAAATAACTAGAATACTTTATTTGTAAGTATAATTTATCCTCTGACTCCACGAAGTAGAATTCACAAAGCTAAATCATGCCCAGAAGTGAGAGGCAGAGCTTTTGGCCCTGTATAATCTTTGCAAAAAGCAAGGGCAGGGTTTCCCAAGGTGGGCTGCACGTTGTACCCTGGCAGCACGGACTGGTCACCCACCCAGCCACCCTCCTCGGTGCAGGCACCCCCACAGCCTCCCTCCGGCTGAGGGAGAGTCTGCAGAGCCATCAGGAGTTGTTTTGTTGATCTGACTGGGCTCTGGAGCAGCCCCATCATTGTTGGACACTGTACAGCTCCCACCAGCTCAGAGATCACCTCTCCTCACTCCTGGTGTCTGTGAGCTCTGACCCTGCCAGCTGGTTCTCAGTCTGGAATTTTGGGGTGAATAAGAGCCAGACTGGAACACCTTCCTCAGTCGTTTCATACCACAGCACCTCAGGCAAGATTTAGCCTTTAAACCAGTCATCCCATAACAGGGCAATGTGTTACTAAGCTTGGCTGTCACTAGGCTATGGAAACCCCTCTATTTGGCTTGTCAAATAATAACAACAGATTTTTAATGTTTATTGTTATTTAATTTTCTTTCTTGGAAAAGCTACGTGAAACTGAGCTGACGTCGGAAGAAAGGATTGGTGTAGCACTAATCCACCTTATTACTGTGAATTGTAGTAATTTATTAAGCAGATTTTAAGCTAAAAGCACAGACTTTATGCATTTTATAAAGGTCTGTTTGGGCCCAATCCTGCTGTCCTTGGACCTCACTCCAGGTTCTTTTGCACCAGTGTAGATCCAGAGTAGTTCCACCTGAGCTGAGTCAGGTGTTCCCCTGTACAGGTCAGCACACCCTGCCTCGCTCACAGGGCTGGCTCGGGGTCAGCTGAGGCCCCGCACCAGTGGAGTCATCATGAGAACAGCACATTTATGCTGGTGTAAAAAATGATACATGTAAGGAAGATAGAAGGGTTTTATCTCATGGAATATCACCCTGGAGGTCACAGGGACCGCCAGATCCGGACTGGGAGAGCGAGCCCAGCACGCTGCTGCGTTACCAGTGGGGGAAACCCACCCTGCATGGAACACTATCCTCCTTAGAACAGGGACCAAATTGAAACACTGCTCCTCCTTAGAACAGGGACCAAATTGAAACGCTGCTCCTCCTTAGAACAGGGACCAAATTGAAACGCTGCTCCTCCTTAGAACAGGGACCAAACCCCTCTCCTGCGTTATGCAAATGAACCCCCACTGAATGCAATGGGAGTCCCAGTTATTTTGCCGATAAAAACGAAGACTTAATAGGGTTATTGGGGACTTGGGGGAGGGGAAGAGGGGTTGTTTGTTTTTCCCCCTCAGAGAAAAAGTAATTTAAGTGAAATGTGCGAGGCGGTGTTTAATTGCTTCCTGCCTTGTTTGTACATAGCAATTTGGCTGTTTATTGGTTGTCTTTGTTCGGATTTTTATTGTAACTTGTTGCTATATATGCAACCAAGCGTATGCTAAAGTTTAAACTTTGCCACACAATAATGCACAATTTTATGTGCTTTAAAACTTTGTAAATATCTCGATGAACGATGTCTGCTGTGCTAACTGTGAGCCTGGGACTTGACACAACAATATTTTCATGCGTATGTACCTGCAAATGGTTTGAAAATAGCAAAATATATATTGAGGATGGCCACGAGCCAAGAGTAAATGAGTGCCGTATGACTCATGCTTCTTTAATAATTCCTGAAAGAGGCATGTATAGTACATAAAATAGACAATAAAAATAATTTTCAAGACTACAAATATTTTTTATAACTTCAGATATTAAATACTATTTTAGAAAAAAAAAAGATTGGTTGGTAAAAGAAATCTTAAGTTTATTCGAGTGAATCATTGTCATAAAAACGTTCTTAACATAGATTTTTTTTGTTTGATCTAATATCATAGAAACTCAGCTCTTTTAAGATTTAGAAGACTTGAATTGCTCTTGCATTCTTACAGCTCCTGTGATCTTCTAAAATTACAGACTTCAAGTCTTCTCCTTCATTAACAAAAAAATACTGGTGTGTACACTCACATGATTCCAAATACCACGTGTACTTGTGCACAATCTTTAAATAGTGTTTTTTGAAACATATTTTATTTTACCATCATCAAGTACCCCTGTATGTGAGCTTTACAATCCATGCAAATCTGAACACGGTTTGTGTTTTTCCCTGAATTCCTTTTATTTTATTAGAAAGTGACTTTTTCTAAGGCCAAGCTTTCAAATCTGATCTCTAAATTTCGGTTTTAATTCAGGCACCTGAATGAAATAGGCATGGCTTCCAGTGTTTGTGGGTGAAAAAACCCTCCCACCAAAGGCAACAGAAATTTAAATTTTTTCACATATTCTTGTACAAAGAAAAGCAAAGCAAGGTAACACTTCTCATGGAGTATGAGATTGGGCTACTGTGTGTAAGCAAGAGAAATCAGAACAACTCATTTTGAATGCTGAAGTGAAACTGGAAGGGTTCTGCTCTGGGTCACTGTTTACCTGGTTTCAAAGACAGACAGGTTGCTAAATGTATTTTAACAATGAGATGATGCCATAATTGGAATAAGTGACATTCCAAGGTCACAGAGAGCTTGTGGCAGAGCAGGGACAGAATTCTCTGGTCAGCATCCATTATCAGGTGATTATCCACGGCTTGTGCACAGGTACACATGGTAAAGTACACGCTGACCAATGTCTGTATTCCAGCCAGGACATGCCAACTCAATGCAAGCTTCAGAACAACAGCATCTTACTGGAGTATCTGAGAATATTTTCACACATGAAAAATGTTTAGCCAAAACACAGCCAAAGTGGAGTTAATCAGCAGAGCAAAACAAGTCTTAAAATATAAGATAAAACCTGTCATTTCTACTTCCTCAATTTTTAATTTCAGAACATGACAACTGTCACAACATTTACTAAGTTAGTACAAGAAAAAAAAACAAATGCAAATAATTAGTCATGGACAGTAACCTAAGAAATTACCTGGGAAAAACAGCCCAAGACAAAGCAGGATTTTTGTGTGCATGTACTTCAGTCACTCTGGTGCATTTTGCATGTCCCATGCATTTTTAGAGCCTGCTTGTTTGTATGTTTTGCTTGCCCCAAGCTGAGATTTCTTCTCTCTAAGAAGACCAATAAGAGAGCAGTGCAATTCTTACAGACCTTTCTGACATGTCTGCCATGAAGGACAGTGCTGTTCTCTACCTGCCTCTGTGTTCTCTGCTGTTTTACGGAAATGCTTTTAAACCAATTGGAAAAAAGTTACAAACTCTTCTAGGCATGTTTCTGACTTGCTCTTCTGACAGTAAAAGATACCCATTTCGCTGTTCCACTCCAATATATTGACCTATATAAAGTCTCATCTCGCTGAGAAAACTAGTAACTTATTTTTTAATTATGTCTTTAAATAAAAGCTTTGGGTTTGATTTGGGTTTTTTGTTTGTTTTTGCAAACACACAAAAAATCTCTATTAATAAGCTTTGCTGCTCTCTTCCCCAGGCTGCTGTTTTCAATCTCTCTTTTCAAACAAATATATGTTCATTTAGA